GCTCAATTTAAAAAAACCAATGCTGCGTAAACTGTGTGAACAATTGTGGATATTTTAGCAACACATACGAGTCAGTGGACAAAAAATTCATTTAATTCGCAGAATTTTTGCTATTGTATTTGGAACTTTTTTTTCATAATTATTTAGCATACTGCGAGAATGAAGCTAAAATCTCACTTAGACTTAATTTACTAGCGCAAATTGGATTGACCGTCAAAGCCTAATAAAAAGAGGAAGGAATGTCATTGTCTATTTATTTGTGAGATTAAAAATATTAAAATAAAAAGTTGTTGTATTGTGCGTTAGTTTCAGCATTTAACGTTTGTGATTTTCGTTAATTTTGTATCTTTCAGACCCTCATTTCCGCTTTTAATTTTAATGCATTCACTGTCACTCATACGCCCTCACAGTGTCGTGGCACACCTTGAAATTAATGCGAAATTACTACTGTTTTAGGCTCTTTTCAAATGTTATTTTAACAATTATTATGCATTTTTGAGTAACTACTTATCGTTTGCTTGCTGTGTCTAAACACACTACTGATGGCACCTACTGTAAAGGCAAAAGCTTTCGCACAGATTTGGGAGTATGCAGTCAATTTTTACCCCACCATCCCGATGCTAGTGTCTTCAAATTTCAAGCTTAGATCATAGAGTCGAAATATTTCAGAACCCACATTTATGTCCGATTTGGTTCATATTTGGAATGTAGGTGGCGCCAGGTTCACTATAATATTTCGAAAACCTGCATTTATGGTCTGATTTAGTTTATATTAATAATATATATATATTACTTACAGTGACTCTCACAAGTGTTCACGTGTCGATTTTTTTAAACATTCACAAGTAAGATTTTTTTGGTTCTATAATAGTTTTCCAAGCTTTAGCTTAAACCATATAAATCAGAGGTTCAAACTTTATTAAAAATTTAGAAATTCATTAAATTTTCATCAAGATTTCGAGCTTTTTAATCTGAATCTTTAAAATATTTTTGTGTATGCGATTTTATAACCCACAATTTTAGCCTCATGAAGTGCAAGTGCAAGCAAAAATTTTTTTGCGAACCGTTTTCCGCATTTTATTTCATAAGAAATTTATGCTTATACGGAAAAAAGTGCAAAAAACCGTCAGCAAAAAAAAATATTAAAAATATTTTCTAGATGCTTGAAACTTGCACTTGACGAGACTAAATTTGTATGGGCTATAAAACTGCAACCTTTCATTCTGAATTTTGAGTATGCAGTTTTACAGCCAATAAAATTTTTGTATAATAAAATATATTTCAAGCGGCTAGAAATGCAAGTTTATTTTCAAAAATTTTTGTCTGCTGGTCTTTTGCGGATTCCTTCATATACGTAATTTCTAAAATTTATAAAATCTGGCGACGATTTTTCAAATTTTTGTGTGTGAATTCTCTCGCAATTTTCATAAAAAATTCATTTTAAGACCATCACCAAAAAAAAAAACAACAAATGATTAAACATCAAGGCAATCACAAAAAAAAAACAAATGATTAAACATCAATGCTATATATTTAAGCTATTGAAACGTTTTATTTTACTAAAATTTTATAAGCTATAAAACTGCGTACCCAGAAATTTAAAAGTTCAAAATTTTCAGGAAAATTTGTTAGATTTTGTGTTAAGTTTGAAACCTTGAACTGATCTATATGGTCTCGGATCAAGACTCTTGGTTATAGCATGAACAGTAATTTTATCAAAAATTAACAAAAATTTAGCTTGAAAAATATTGTGAACATCAAAAAAAAAATCGCCAAGACATTGCATGCTGAATTATCACCTGACTAAACTGGGGATTTACTTGCAAAGCGGATATCGAAACTGCACAGTACACCTTGGAAAGGTGTCCTAGACTAATGCACAAACGTAAGAGACATCTGAGTGAACATTTGATAACCGAAGGCGTAGTGAAATCCAGAAATCTAGACTCAATACAAAAGTTTCTCTTGTATAATGGGTTAATAGACACTCTATAAATCCATGAAGGGGGCACAATAGATCTTGAAAGCCTAACGTTTACTGGTTCATATTGATTTGTTTGAAGCACATAAAATAAAGTTGGCCAGCCCAATTTACTCAACTTAACTTTGAAGAGGCTGTTATTGAACAATTAATTTTAAAGCAAAAAAAAAACCGACTGTAATTCTCATATAAAAATGTAAGAAACAAACAAAATTAGTATCGAAGCACCACGGAGGTACCACCATTTCTTTTAAAATCCATAAAAATCGGTTAATGTTGTCCAAATTTATGCGGTAACATTTGTACAAAAAAAGTATTCCGACGAACTGATAAACTCTTACTTTTTTGAAGTCGTTTAAAAAGACAAAATTATTAGCAATTTAAGTTGTTGAATAATTTGATTCATGGATGCATTGAACTTCTATTTTTTGAACTGAGCTACTTTTTTATCACATACATGTAGAAGACAAATGTTTTTGCATTAGTATTCAGTATATATGTGCATATAAAACCACTCATATGCTTATACATAATTGCACGCATTTCTATAAGCTAAATGGTAAGAAAATTGCTTAGGCATGCTTGGCTGACCGATAAAATGGGTAGCCCCATTATTTAAAAGGGTGTTCAAGTACGCAAGCACGAATGAGTTAAAAGCGCAAACAAAGCGTAGAAATAAGGTGTATGCCAACTGCCAAGTAGGAAAAATAGACCTTAACTTAAATACTTGTACAAGATAAACAACTTTCGAACTCCATCCCACAATGGCGCAAATCTTAAATTTGTAGAAGAGCCGACGCATTCTGAAGGTTTATTACGACTCTAAGCTTTCTTCGAAAAGGAATATTGTAGAGCGGTGAAAGAAAGCGCTCAATGCCTTCTAATCTTTCTAGAGTATTATTGGAAAGGGTTGCAGACTGCGACCATAGATAATACATTGGCCATATAACGGGTGATTTTTTTGAGGTTAGGATTTTCATGCATTAGTATTT